GAATGTCCCGGGAGCCTCCCGCGTGTCCTTGCTGTCCCTGCCAGCTCTGGGGGCAGAGGGAGAGCCCAACTCCCCCGGGCAGCAGGAGGATCAGAGGGATTCAACTCTCCCTGTGGAAAACGGGACCCCCGGGGCTCGGCCAAGGTGGGCAAAAAAAAAAAAGGGATTTTTAGCCAAAACGTTTGAATTCTGAACTCTTCACCTCATTCCGTGGGCAGGGACAACTTCCACTGAAACAGATATTTTATATGCAGATATATTTTATATACAGATATATTTTATATACAGGTATATTTTATATACAGATATATTTTATATACAGATATATTTTATATGCAGATATATTTTATATGCAGATATATTTTATATGCAGATATATTTTATATACAGGTATATTTTATATACAGATATATTTTATATAGAGATATATTTTATATACATTATATATCAATATATGGAATTATAATATAATTCCAGCTTCCAGGGATGGGGTGTCCTAACAGCTTCACTCACCCCTCTCCTCGGGGAGCACCCAAAAGATTCTCCTCGCTGAGTTTTCCCGCTTTTCTCCCCGGGAATCCTCCCCTCCCTTCCCCGCGGGCACGGGGGGTGTCCTCGCCTTTCCCACCCCCCTCCTTTAACTCCCCGCCGCTCTTTCCCACTGCTCGCAGCTTCAAACCTCCTGTAGGGTCAAGTAGAAGCTTTTCCTTGGCTCCGAACCCGCCCTTTCCTTGCCAAGAATGCGGTTTATTGCGTGCAAATGTTAGTCAACAGTTACATTATCCGCACTCAGCCTTCTTTTTCTCTCTTTTATTTTTTTTTTCCCCTCTCTTTTATTTTTTTTCCCCTTTCTTCTCGAGCTCTAAAGCAGCGATTTGGCAGCGAGCGGCGTTGTGGACACTCTTTAATCCTGATGGATGCGTTGGCGGCGGAGCGCGACACTAATTGACGGACATTCCCCGGTTCTGCCTCGTTAATTCCGATTAAAACTCGCCGCGGGCATTTTCTTCTCCCCTTCTCCATTAATCAAGGGGATATTGTGTTTTTTATGGGTGATTGATTAATTCCCCCGGCACTCCCCCCCCGCGGGATTTGCTTATTTATTGTAATGATTAACAACTATAGTTATAATAATTATATTAATCGTGTATTAAAATTATTTAATCATTATAGTAGTAATTTATAATATAAATAAATAGAATGTAAATATAAAATATTCATACCATATAATATTAATATTATACATAATATTTATATTATATATAACATTAATATCATATATAATATTTTTATTATAATATTTTATTATAATATTTTTATTATAATATTTTCATTATAATATTTTTATATAATAATATTTTATATTTTACTATTTATACGCAATAATATTTTTATATAATATTTTATATTTTACTATTTATATACAATAATATTTTTATATAAAATATTTATATATAATGTATAATATTTATATAATATACAATATTTGTTATATATATTTATGATATTGTACACTATATAAAATATAATATAAATATAAACTGGGCATGGTGGCAGTGATTGCAGCTCCTTTTCCATTTGGGAAGAGCTGCCAGGAGAAAGAAGGGATGGGAGTGTTTGGGTGGGCAGCTGGGACCAAGGTCAGTCCCTCTCCCCCTCTGTCCAAGGGGGAATGTTCACACCAACAGCTCCCAGAATAAATTCCCTTACTATGATCCCAAAGAGCCCAGATGGCCCTGACTGGGATTTTGGGATTGGAAGGCAGGGGCAGGAAAAACTGGGACAGCTTCTTGTGGTGCAAAACCCTTGGGGGCACTGGGATTGTGCTTAAATTGGGGGTGATAAAGAAAATCCTTCAATTCTAAACTCTTCCTTTTGGGAAATACCCGCCTGCATCCTGGGAAATAGGATTGGAATGGGATTGGGGCAGGATTTGGGGGCTGAGCACCTAAAATTAGGGCTGGATGATGGTTTTCCACCTGCAGAACCACCTGAGATGGTGCTTTTGGGGGGGAATATTTGACACCAAACTCTCCCCCTCACATGACTTGTGGTGGGATGTTCAGAAAAGAAAAACCCCAAACCCCACAGAGACAAAAACCCACGGAGGCAGCCGGGATTTTTTAGCAAAGATTCTGCTCTCTTTATTCCAGAAGGTCATAAACCAGCATCAGATAAAACAGTATCAAAAAAATATGTACAAAAATAGCAACTATTTGCACTGGAGCAGCGAAGTTTGGGATCCAGAGCACGAGGAGGATTTTTTGGCTGCTTGGAAACTGTCAGCAAGGGGGGAGAAAAAAAGAGCTCTGCCACAAGCATTTTCCCAAAGAAGCATCCAAGAAATTCGGTTTATATCTAATTTGCAGTTTCTATCTAGTTTTCAGCGTTTATATCTCATTTTCAGAGTTTCTATCTCGTTTTCCCAGCCCAGCTGAGTCTTTCCCAGTGTGAGGTTCCCATCCCTGTCCGTGCAAAGGACACGGGGATCCCTCTCCAGGGGATGCTCAGAGCTGTTTTCCAGTGGATTTAGTGCAAATATCACGGATTTAAGCGGCATCCCGAGGGTCTGGAGGTGGGAATTCCGCGGGAGGTGCTCTCGGGGGGGAGGTTGTGTCCGGCTTTGAGGCCATAAAGAGCTTTTTGTTGTTCCAAGGAGTGGGGAAAGTGGATAAAGGAGCAGGGTTTGAAACATTGCAACAGTGGAGGGGAGATGTCCTTCCCCCCTAAAAACCCAGGCAGCATCTGGGAGGAAAAAATGTTATCTGGAGATATTAAGAGTTACTTTGAGACAATTAAGAAGCCACTGAGTGTCCTCCAAACTCAGAGAGAAGCTTTTGATAGCGGGAGAAAATTCATATCTCCTGCAAAGGGCTCCAGTCCGTGTGTTCTCCTCTCCCTGAACTCCCTTCCCTGGAATTTGCCTTTGGAGCAGCTTTGCCTTTGCTGTGGGAGCTGCGAGATCCAGAGCAGTTCCCTCCCCAAAAAAAAAAACCTGTGAAAAGGGACAAATCCAAGAGATTTCTTAAAAAAAACCTGTGTAAAGGGACAAATCCAAGGGATATCTTTCTGTATTTCCCCGCTGCAGGAGGGAGTCGGGGCCCTGAGATTATTAATTCCCCTCTTGGAAAAAAAGAGGCACCACAGGAACGTTTTGGGAGGTTCACAGGGGAAGAAACCTCCTCGTATTTTTATTTCAGAGGGTTCAATTTGTTCCAGCAGAGCTCTGCTTTTTTTATTTTTTTTTTTTTTTTTTTGGGGTGGAACCCAGCTCAGAAAAAAAAAAAAAAAAGAGTTGATGTGTCTCCTCTCTTGGAAACCTCCTTTATTTCTACATTTTTTTTCCCCGTGGAATTAGAGGAGTTTTAAGGATGATTAGTTATTAAAAAAAATAAATAAATAAAAATCGTTGCTGTTTTGCTAATTGCAAAGAAGAGTTCGCTCCCTAAAAAACGACTTGCAGGAGTTTGTCCACCAAAAAATGACTTGTAGGAGTTTATTCAGCCAAAAATGACTTGTAGGAGTTTATTCATCAAAAAATGACTTGTAGGAGTTTATTCAGCCAAAAATGACTTGCAGGAGTTTATTCATCAAAAAATGACTTGTAGGAGTTTATGCACCAAAAAATGACTTGCAGGAGTTTATGCACCAAAAAATGACTTGTAGGATCATTATCTTGAATCTTGATCCCACAGAACCCTGGAATGCTTTGGGTGGGAAGGGGCTTTAAACCCCAGGGAATTCTCTGCTGGGAGAGCTGAACTCCTGCAGCTGCTGCTGCTGCTGCTTTAAACAGGGAATGTTCCAGCAGGGCCAACACCCGGATATGCAAAACTCATCTGTCAGTGCCCCATTGTCCCTGTCCCTGCTCGGCCTTCTCACGGCTCCTGAGCCACCAACAGCCTTGGCACCGTGGGCACAGGGGCGGCTTTGGGTGGGGACAACCCGCCCCAGCCCCGGCCCAACCTCGTGCCCCCCAAAAAATCCGGCTGCCCCAGCAGCATCAGGCCCTTTGTGTGGCACAAAGAAGCCGAATTCTGCCCCAAAAACACGTGTATTGCCCCGGGCGGGGGCTGTGGAGCTCTAAGCTCAGTAGTATTAATGCTATTAATGGCAGAAATGAGATTTTTGGCCTTTTTACTAATTTTTAAGCCTAGTTTTTAGCTCGTCCAGCCCGTGCCATGCCAGCTCAGTGCCAGCAGTTTGCTTTTTGCCCCGAGCAAGGGGCAAAGGGAGGTGGTTTGCAAAGGGGGCAGAGAGGGACAGTTGGTGTCTCTGGGGCTGGACCAGCCCTTTCTGCTCCTGAAAGCTGCAGATTGGGGAATCCTGGAACGGTTCGGCTTGGAAAGGGGCCTTAAACCATCCCGTTCCACCCCCTGCCAGGGGCAGGGACACCTCCCACTAGCCCGGGTTGCTCTGAGCTGGCCTTGGGCACTTCCAGGGATGGGGCAGGCTCAGCTGCAATAAAATAAGATGAATTTAATGCTCAAACAGTCAAAGTCCTGGGCTGGTTTTGGCTTCTTTTTTTGATGGTTATTTTACTGTCAGCGGCAAGAGGTTCGTGCAGAAGACACCGAGATCGTTACTGCGAGTCCCTCCCCTAATTAGCACTAGAAAGGGCAGGGACACCTTCCACTAGCCCAGGTTGCTCCAAGCCGGCCTTGGACATTTCCAGGGATGGGGCAGCCACAGCTGGGCGAGCCCAGAGCGTTGCAATAAAACAATTTAATTGAATTTAGAATTAAATTTAATGTTGTGCTTTGATTTAATGCTCAAACACTTAAAAGTCTTGGGCTTTTTTTTTTTTTTTTTTTTTTTCTTTTTTTGGTGGTTATTTTACCGCCAGCGGCAAGAGGTTCGTGCAGAAGACACCGAGGTCGTTACTGCGAATCCCTCCCCTAATTAGCACTTAGAAAGGGGAGACGCCGCGCCCGGGATTTAAAGCAAAAAAAAAACGACGTTTTCTGCTTTAAAAAAAAAAAAAAAAAAAAAAAGGGGGGGAAAAAAAGAAAGAAAAAAAAGCTGTTGCTACCAGGAGGGGCTCCAGCCGTGCAGGTAGTAGAGGCAGGGCAGGTAGGGCCAGGTGGCCCTGAGGGCGAGCAGCGATGCCCCCGGCAGCTCCGGGTGCCCCTTGTGCCCGGCCAGGGCAGTGTCCGAGCGCGCCAGCTCCGCCGTCACCTGTTTCCTCTTGGTCTTGTACCTGCGGTTCTGGAACCAGATCTTCACCTGCGTCTCGGTGAGCTGCAGGTTCCGGGCCAGGTGGGCTCTCTCGGGGGCCGACAGGTATTTCTGGTGGCTGAATTTCCTCTCCAGCTCGATGACCTGGCTGTGAGAGAAGGCGGCCCGGGAGCGCTTGGGGGGCTTGGGGGGGCGAGGGGAGGCGGGCAGGGGGGGGTCACACCCCGCCAGGTAACTCTGCACAGGGGCATCTGTGGAGAGAAGAGAGAGTTACCCCCAAAATCCCGCAGAGTTACCCCCAAAATCCCGCAGAGTTAACCCCAAAATCCCGCAGAGTTAACCCCAAAATCCCAGAGAGTTAACCCCAAAATCCCACAGAGTTACCCCCAAAATCCCACAGAGTTACCCCCAAAATCCCCAGAGTTACCCCCAAAATCTCAGAGAGTTAACCCCAAAATCCCGGAGAGTTAACCTCAAAATCCCGCAGAGTTACCCCCAAAATCCCGGAGAGTTAACCCCAAAATCCTGCAGAGCAGAAGGTTCGTGTTGTCCCGGGAATGTTTTGGTGGATTTGATGGCTTTGTTCAGTGTGGGGGGTTTGGGAGTCACGGGAAAGGGAGGGGTTTGTGTTCCTGGATCAGAGGGGTTCATCCCAGAGATTCGAGGGATGGGTGGGACGGGATAGGGTAGGGGTAGGAATGGGATGGGACAGGATAGGAGAGGAAAAGGATAAGGATAGGGAAAGGACAGGGACAGGGAAAGGATGAGGATGAGGATGAGGATGAGGATGAGGATGAGGATGAGGATGAGGATGAGGATGAGGATGAGGATGAGGATGAGGATAAGGATAAGGATAGGGAAAGGAAAGGGATAGGGAAAGGATAAGGATAGGAAAAGGATAGGGATAGGGGAAGGATAGGGATAGGAAAAGGATAGGGATAGGGGAAGGACAGGGATAGGGAAAGGACAGTGATAGGAAAAAGACAGGGATAGGGGAAGGACAGGGATAGGATAGGGATAGGACCAGGAGTAGGACCAGGAGTAGGACAAGGAGTAGGACAAGGAGTAGGACAAGGAGTAGGACAAGGATAGAAGGCAATAATATCCCTGGAATGTTACATTTCAGTGCTGGTGGAAGTTCTCCCCAAGCCCCCAAGGTTCTGTTGTGTCCCGTGTGGTGTCAAAGGCTCTTGAGATTTTTAATGCAGAATTCACATTTTTAGGCATTTTTTTTTTAAATATCCTCCCGTGCCCATAGGAAAATCCTAATTCCCAAAGAGAACCAATCCTCAGGTTCCAGAGGATGGCTCAGGAGCGGGGGATCAGAGCCTGATTCCCAAAGAATCCCAAAGAAAGTCCTCAGGCTCCAGAGGATGGCTCAGGAGCGGGGGATCAGAGCAGCTCGGAGCAGGCTGCAGGTGGAAACCACTGAAAATCAATCCCTTCCTTTTCCATCCCACAACTCCAAGAAATTTTAGGGTAGTCTGAAACCTTCAGGCCTGGCTTTCCACCTCAAACTGCAGAGCTGGCCCTGGATCCCAGTGTTTGCCTCTGGATTATCCCTCGTGGCACCGATGGATCACCGGAGTCACGGCCCAGAGCTCCTGGGAAGTGTCACCTGGAGCTCCTGAAGCTTCTCAACTCGCTTTATTTGGGCAGTTCATTCCTTTCTGTGCAGTGTCAGGATGGAAACGAGCCAATTTCCGTTTGCCTTTAGTGATTTTTTTAAAGTGTATTTTCTCAAGGTGTGAATACAACGCTCGAGGTGGAAACAACAGCTCCCAGCTGGTGTAAATCCTGGTTGTCCCCCTGGAATGCCAGGGCTGGGCTCATTTACACTTCCTGGGAGATTTGGGGTGGCTTTTAGTGATTTTTGGGTTTCGATTAATCAGCCCAGGGGCTGTCTCTGAACTTGCTTTTATGTAGGAACTTCTTTTAATAGAATTGAGATGCAAAGCCAAGATTCCCCTGGCAGGGGCTGTTGGAGGGAGCAGGATCTGCTCACCAGGGAGTTCAAAATTGCTTTTTTGGCTGTTTTAGCTCAGGGAAAGGCTGAGTCCACCCCCCCCCCCCCAGCCCTGGATGGGCTCGTGCTGCAGCAGGGACAGGGACACCAGGCACAAAAACTCGTGTTTTGGGATGTTGGGATCTGCATTCCGCCTTTCCTGAGATCTTCTGCATCAAAGGGGAATTTGTTTCCCAAGGGATTGTAGAAATGTATCAACTGGGAGTTTTTAAACATCGTTGTAGGCAGGTTCAGACCTTGGAGTTGTTTGAGGTACCCGGAGAAAGGTTTTCACACAGTCCCTAAATCCCCTCCTCTGCCCCTGCCGGGGCTGGGAAGTTCCGGGGGTTTGATCCAAGTGTGTCTGATCCAGCAGCCGGGGCTGGATCCTGTCCCTGGGCTGAGCCAGGCACAGCCATTCCTGATCCATTCCCTGATCCCAGCACAGACATTCCTGATCTAATCCCTGATCCATTCCCCATCCATTCCTGACCCCAGCACAGACATTCCCTGATCCATTCCCTGACCTCATCAGAGACATTCCTGATCCATTCCCTGATCCATTCCCTGACCCCAGCACAGACATTCCTGATCCATTCCCGATCCATTCCCTGACCTCATCAGAGACATTCCTGATCCATTCCCGATCCATTCCCTAATCCCAGCCCAGCCATTCCCGATCCATTCCCTGCCCCATTCCCAGCCCGCCGGCTCCAGCAGGAGCTCGCAGCCCTCACCTGTGTCCTCTTCCCGGGCTGTGCCTGTGCCGTGGGATGCTCCCGTGGGATGGGGGCTCCCGGGGTGGTTCCCGGGGTCGGAGCCGCCCTCCCTCCCGTCGGCCGGGGCCGCTCCGCTCTCCCCATTCCCGGCGCTGCCAAAGCCTCTGCTCCTGCCCCTGTCCAGCCGCGCTCCGCGCTCCGCCCCATCCCAGAGGATGTCTTGGATGAGGAAGGATGTCCTGGGCCTGGAGGAGGCCGGGCTGGGCTGCTGGGGGGCCGGGGGGCTCCGGCTCATCGCTGCCGGGGCGCTGCTGGGGGAGCTCTGCCTCCTTCCCGGGAGCGCCCCGGCGCTCATCCTCCTCCTCCTCCTCCTCCTCCTTCTCCTTCTCCTCCTCCCGCTGGCCCTGCCCGGAGCTCCGCTGCCTTCCCACCCTCCCGGCTCTGGATTTATCCCGGCGGCAGCCAAGCCTCCCGGGGCTGATTGGAGAGCCCCGGCGCTGTCTACGCCCTTCCCTCGGCTCTTGGCTCCCGGCGCATTTTTGGCTCTGGGCTTCTCCCTCTTGCTCCGCACGCGGATCCTTCCCCAGGGATCCCTTCCCTGCTGGCAGATCACCCCCTGGCTTTTAGGACCAGGAGAAGGATGGGAGTTTTGGGATCAAAACGCTTCCAGACTGAGGTTTTTTTGGGAGAGGAGAGAGACAGAGCTCTGCTCCCTCCTCCTTATGGGAATGATTTCTATCCCTGAGCTCTTTGGGAAAACTTTTGGGAAAAGTGAAGAACTGAAAGGGCTGGGTGGTTTTTTAGTTTATTTGGGGGTTTTTTTCTTCCCTCTGATGCATTTCCAGTGTGTTGGAGAACAGGGGGAAAACATCAAAGAGCTTTTCACCCACTTTGCAGAGCTGAAGAAGAAGATGGAACACAGAGGGGGAGCAGCTCCAGAGGCAAATCCTCCCATGGAAAAGGGCTGAGGGTTCACACGAAGGTTTAAGCCTAAAGCTCAGCCTAATTCCTTGCCCAGCTGTGGGATGAGGAAGCTTCAGGACCTTTACACACCATCCTGCAAGACCTTGGGCACCCAAAAGGGGCAAAACCTTCCCAAATCCAAGAAAACCCACGAGTGTTAAAACAGATTATTTTCCTCAGGATCTACTTTATTTGTAGCTGTTCTTCCAGAGTTTCTGTTTGGAATATATCAATATATCTCAATAAATCAGGACCTCCCATAGCTCTGGTGACTCCAGAATCCTTCTGCTGGTGCAAAGAGCACTGGTCAACCCTTTTATTCCCAAAACTTGCCCAAACCCAGCTTTTCCCCTCAGCTGAAAAGCCTGGGCGTGTTTTTTTTTTTTTTTTAACCTTAAAAAGGGAAACAATAGATTTCCCTGCAGTCCCCCGAGGACTTTGTTGATTTTACAGGAGGGTGTTTGGTTACAGCAGCCCAAAGCCTGGAGCAGGTTGTGCAAACTCTGTCCCAAACTCTGCTTTATCCCGCCCTTTTTTCCCCCTCCTTCTTTAACCTGCTGGCCTGGAAAATATCCCCCTGTATCCACTGCGTGCTCGGAAAACCTCAGCAGCTTCAATAATTCAGTCAGAGAACGGGAATTTGGGAAGATTTATGCAGGAATTGCAGCCCGAGGGTTTTATTGTGACTCTCCAACCCCCAAAATTTGGTTCTGGAGAGCGAATTAGGGGTTGGGGAAGGTGCTGCTGGAGGGTGGGGGGCGTTCCAAAGGGTCCCTGCTGGATTTGGGAGACAGTTTTCCCACCACAGAGCCCCTTCCCCTGCACCCACAGGGGCTCAGCCCAGTGTCCATCCACGACCATTCCGGGCTCCAGACCCAGCAGAAGGGCTTCTCTTCCCACGGGCAACTCCTTCCCTTCCCGAGGGATCATTTAATTCCAGTTGATCACTTCCCAAACCACAATAGGGGAATCAATGGTGCCTTCCCAGAACGTCTGGAGTTGTTCAGTTGGATCCAAAAGGATCCTGGAGTCCAGCTCCTGGCCCTGCACAGGACAGCCCCGACCATCCCACCACGTGCTGTCCAAACACTCCCCCTGCACTCATAATTCCCATTTCCAACCCTTTTCATCCTGAGCTGGCAAGGGAAACGATTTCCTTCCTGGATTTCTGTGTTGATTTGGGGGAGTTTCCTGTGCTTTGCCTCGTTCTGCTGCTGAAGCTCCGAGGAAAACCTCTCAGCCCCCGCACTGGGATGCTGCTGTTTGCCAAGGCTTTTCCCGGTGCCAGCAGCAATTCCCAGCGCAAGGACCCCGTGGAATCTTCCCCTGGGCCGGAGCCCCGAGCCCCAGATATCCCTGAGTGAGTGTGGATGGATGGAGGGGAGGAGAAGGGGCAGGATCCAGGCGTTTCCAGGGGCTCCGCGTGCTCCGAAGCCTCGGAGCAGCAGGAAGAGGAGTTATCTCCCCCAGAGGGATTTTCTGGTTTGAGCTGGGTGTCAGGGATGTCCCATTTGGGAAGTGATGGGGCTGAGTGGGATCACAGATAAAAGCTTAATTGCCTCCTGCAAGTCTTTTGGGGAGGATAAGAAGCCCTTGGGAATGAGGTGGGAAGAGGGGGGAACAGCCTGGAAAAGGGACAGGGATGGAGAGGGGGAGATTTCCCCTGTCCTGTGTGGTGGTGACTCTGTGTCACTGGGACATCCAGCTCTCCTGCATTTAATAAATACATTTATTAATAAATATATCTATTAATATTTATTAATATCAATATATAATCAGCAACATTTATTAAATGTATTTAATAAATGTCTATCCCTATTTATTAATAAATTTATTAAATAGGGATAGACATGTAAATATACATTATAATAATATATAAAATATTATATATTATATTATATATAATATAATAATATATAAGGAATATTATACAAATATAATCAATACATAAATATAATCAAGGCATTTGATGCTGGATCCTGATTTAGGAATCCTGGACCTCTTGGTTGCTCAGGGATGGGGTTGGGATAATTCAGGTGACACCAACCCCCAGTGGGATCCTGGGAACTGCCCCATAACGTACCTACAAACCCATTTTAGCAGTAAAGAAAAACCAGGAGAGCTGAAAACATTTGTCAGGAGTTAAGGAGAGGGATAAACCTTGGAGAGGGATAAATCTTGGAGGGGGTTAAACCTTGGGAGCTCCCTGAGCTTGGACCACAAGGTGATTATCTTTCTGCATTAATTATTAGCATTTAATTAGAGTTTAATTTTTTTCCTGTGAGCTAGGTTTTTGATGCTCAGGTGCCAAAACCACGGATGGAAAAATTCCAAATACAAAGTGAGGGGAAGGCGAGAGTGAAAACACCATTTTACCAATTGGGGTTTTATTTGCAAATAATCAATAATAATAATAATAATAATAATAATAATAATAATAATAATAATAATCAATAATAATAATAATAATAATAATAATAATAAAGACAGAAATGGACACCTGTGCTGGGAGATATTAAGACATATAAATCAGAAATATATTTCAAAAGATTAGAGGAAGTCAAACCGTTCAATGCTGTCCACAAAAAACCACAGTGGTGTGTGTTTTCCAGTTGTCCTTAGGAAGAAATCCGGTGTTCACACCCTCCTGATGGAGCAAATCCCGGAGGAGCAAATCCTCTGGGAGCTGGGAGGGGCCAGACTCCAAGTCCTTGTGTTTAATAATAAATAACAGAGTCCTTGGCTCCCCAAAGTCTCAGTGCTGGGGTGGCAGCGTCCCCTTCTCTCCCAGGCTTTTCCAGGGAGCTTCTCCTGAGCTTTTCCAGGGAGCTTTTCCCAAGCTTTTCCAGGGAGCTTTTCCCAAGCTTTTCCCTCCGCTGAAAGGGTGCTGGAGTCGTCCCGCTGCCCGGGCTGGCGGGAATCCCTTGGATTTGGCTCCTGGATCGTCCTCACCTCCACCTGCCAGCCCTGGGTCCCCCCCCGAGGGCCGGGGGTGGGAGCCGGGCAGCGCTGGCCATTCCCCCGCTCCCGGGGGCGGCACCGGGGGGCCCCCCGGGATAACCCCCCCCAAATCCAGCCCCGCAGGAGCCGTAGCAGGATCGGCAGGAATAAGGGCCGGCAGGCAGGCTGGCAAAGGCCGGGTAAGGCCGGGAGCCCCCCAGGCAGGGTTTGCCATCCCTGACCAGCACTGGCACCGCCACCCTGCGCGGGGGGGGCGGGGGGTGGGCGGCCAATTCCAGGGATTTGTCCTGGCGCTGCCTCTTGCTCTTGTAGCGCCGGTTCTGGAACCAGATCTTCACCTGCGTGGGGCTGAGCTGGAGCAGCCGCGCCAGCTCCTCCCGCTCCGGCGCCGACAGGTATTTCTGCCGCTGGAATCGCTGCTCCAGCTGGAAAACCTGCGCCTGGGAGAACAGGACGCGCGGCTTCCTCCTCTGCCGCGGCCTGGGAGGGGGGCACGGGGGGCTTTTCTTCTCCTCCTCCCCCTCCAAGGGAGGGGCGAGCCAACATTTCCCTGCAGAGAAGCAAAAAAGTGAGCCCCAAATCCATCCCCCTTCCCATTCCACCGGGAACGGCATCCCTCGGGAATAAGATGAAACGGGGCTGATACAGGGGATAAATTAATAAATCAATAAATTAAAGCTTGATGGCCGGTAAATTTAAGGCTGATGGTTGATAAACTGATAAACTAACAAATTTAAGGCTGGTAGTTGATAAATCAATAAATTGATAAGTTAATAAATTTAAGGCTGATAGTTGATAAACTGATAAATTGATAAATTAATAAATTTAGGGCTGATAGTCAATAAGCTGATAAATTAACAAATTTGAGGCTGATAGTCCATAAATTTAAGGCTGATAGTTGATAAATTAAGAAGTTAATAAATCGAAGGCTGAGAGTTTATAAATTAATAAATTCATAAATTGAAGGCTGGTAGTCGATAAATTTAAGGCTGACAGTTGATAAATCAATAAATTGATAAGTTAATAAATTTAAGGCTGACAGTTGATAAATTAAGAAATTAATAATCTGAAGGTTGGTAGTCGGTAAATTTAAGGCCGATAGTTGGTAAATCAATAAATTGATAAGTTAATAAATACAAGGCTGATAGTTGATAAATTAATAAGTTTAAGGCTGATATTTGATAAATTAAGGCTGATAGTTGATAAACTGATAAATTAATAAATTTAAGGCTGATAGTTGATAAATTAACATGACCTTTCCTGTGATATTCCCGCCCCCCCCTTTTTTTTTTTGGATAGAATTAGGCTGTTCTATTAATTGTGGATAGCGGCTGCTTTTGGTGCCTCCTAAGGATTCCTGGGGTATTTTGGGAGTGCCACCCTGGGCAGCTCCAGCCTGAGGGGCACAGGGAAAGTGGGGCACGGGAGGGATGGAAAC